CGGGCAGGCACTCGCGCCAGCCGGGCGCCCCGCCCTCTGCTGCGCACCGGCGGCGGCTGGCGCACCGCGCTCACCATGCAGCAGCTCCTCTTGCGTCATCCCCCGCACCAGCTGGCGCAACGCCTCAGCAGACACAGCACCCTCCGCCGCCTGCAGAGCAGCATCCACCGGCCGCGCCGCCGCCTGCCGCGCCTGCCGCGCCTGCTGCTGCTGCTGCTGCTGCTGCTGCTGCTGCTGCTGCTGCTGCTGCTGCTGCCGCAGCGGCGGCGGCGGCGGCAGCGCGGGCGGCGGAGGCGCCGCCGCTGCCGCCGGCGCCGCCAGCCTGCCGCGGGTGGTGGGGCTGCCGGCAACCGCCGCGGCTGCGGCCGCCGCCGCCAGCCTGCCGCGGGTTGTGGGGCTGGTGGGGCTGGCGGGAGGCGGCGCCGCGGCGGGCGCGCGGCGTGCGGGCGCCGAAGCAGGCCTAGGCGCGGGCGCGGCGGCGGCAGCCGCCGCGGCCGCGGAGCCGCCGCCGCCGCGCTGCGCCGCGTCCACGACCGCCTGCAGGCTGCCTGCCTCTCTCAGCGCCGCCACATGGCTGGCCACGTCGACCATGCTGAGCGCGCTGAGGGCGGGCAGCAGGGGGCGGTAGGGAGCCAGCGGGAAGTTGAGCGTGGCGGAGGAGGGGTCCTTGCCGTACTGCAGCGGTACAGGCGGTACAGGCACGGCAGGGGGACGCCTCAGCCAAGGCAGCAGCTCAGGAAGAAAGCAGAGCGGCAGGGGGCGCAGGGCGAGGCGGGAGCTGCGCCGCTTCTGGGCTGCAGGCGAGGCAGGAGGGTCGGGCCTGCAGGCCCCTCCACCACCCCCCTTTCACGCCCTGCCCTCCCCTCCCCCTGCCACCCAGCCCCGCTCCCCGCACACACGCACGCCCTGCCAACCCACCAGGTGGCAGCGCCAGAGGATGAGCAGGTCTGCGGCGGCGGCCGCCAGGTCCAGCGTGCCACACTGGCTGACACTCAGCGTCTGGGAGCCGCGCATGCTGTTCCATAGGCGCTGCCGGCCGGGCGCCACCTGCGGCCGGTGGGGCGGAACGCGCGTGCGTGCATGGGTGTGACGCGTGTGTGTGTGTGTGTGTGTGCGCGAGCGCGTGGTGTGAAGAAGTGAGGGCCCTGGCGAGCAGCCCCAAGGGCAGCCAGCGGGGCAGCCAGCGCGGCGCGAAACAGGTGTCAGGCGTGCAGCAGGCGCCGCGGCGCCACGGCTGCTGCGGCGGCGCCACGGCTGCTGCTGCGGCGCCAGGGCAGCGCCGGGCGGCACCCACCTGCTTCTGCGCCAGGGTGAGCTGCGCCGTCCAGGGCCCGTTGCCATACACCCCCTGCCGCCCGCTCTTACTCTTCTTGCCGGTCGGCTTGGCGCGGCCGCCCCTGCCGCGAGGCGGGGCGGGGCTGCCGGCGCCGCCACCGCTGTCTGCAGCAGCAGCGGCGCCGCCAGACGGCCCCGCCTCCTCCTCACCCGGCGCCGCCGCTGCGGGCTGCGCCGCCGCTGCGACAGGCTGCGCCGCCGCCGCCGCGGCGGCGCCGCCGCCGGTGGCCACCTCGGCCAGCCCTCCCTGGTCCCTCAGCGCCTTCAGCTGGCCCTTGAGCTCGCTGTCGGTCTTGCAGCCGCGCAGCATGGGCAGCAGCGCGGCGTAGCGGGGCCACGAGAAGTTGAGGCGCTGCCCGGTATCGTCGCCGCCATCCAGCTGGGCGGGGTCGGCGCCGTACTGCAGCAGTACAGGCACGGCGGTACAGCAGGTGAAGCCGCTGCGTAGCGGGGCGAGCGTGACGCGCGGCCCGCACGGCATGGCAGGGGGCATGCAGCGCAGGCGGTGGTGCATGCGTGTCTTGAGGTGTGGGAGCGGGGCGGCGCTCGCAGCGGGCACGGCAGCGCCTCTGCCCGGGGAGGAAAGCGGCGGGAGGAAAGCGTCCGCACCTGCATGGCCCGCCACATGGCGGCCAGGTCCCAGCACACAGCCGCCTCGGCGGCAGTACCGCACGGCGTAAACCGCACGGTTCTGGTGGTCCTGCGGCGGCGGAGGTGGTGGTGGTGGGGTGGGGGGCGCATGCGAGAGCATGGCTGGGCGGTGGCGGCAGGACGGAGAATGGCTCGCTCGCCCGGCTGCGGTGCTCGGCTGTGGGGAAGCCGCCGGGGCCCGGGCAGCCAGCCAACCCCAGCTTGGGGCTGGCAGCGCAGCTCGCTGGCGGGCCGCTGGAAGAGCGCAGGCGGCCCGGGGGCAGGCACAGCGCCACGCAGCAGGGCAGGGGCAGGCACACGCGGCGGCAGCAGGTGGCTCACTTGGCGGTGGGCGAGGGCTTGCCCCCCGCCCCGATCTTGTACGTGATCTGAGCCGCCATCTTGCCCGAAATGCCTGCAGGCCAAGGGGCGGCCATGCGGGGTCGGCGGGCAGAGGCCAGGGGCAGCCGCGGGCAGGCCAGGAGCTCCAGCAGCGGCAGCAGGCAGCAGCAAGCCATCGCGCAAGAAGGGAGCAGCAGGCTGGCCGGGGCACCGCAGCGACCAGGAAAAACAAGAAGAAAGGCTCACGAGTGATGCCGTGGAAGGGATGGTTGGCGGGGGTGAAGGCCAGCACGTCCTGCGACTCCCAAGGCCGCTCCCCCGCCGCCAGCCCCGCCCCGCCCTCCCTGCGCCGCTTGGCGCCGCCGCGGCGCCGGCCCCCGCCGGCAGCCCGGGGAGCGCCGTTGGGCGCGCTGGCCCGCGCTGCAGCTGCGCCGCCGCCGCTCTCCTCCTCCTCCTCCTCCTCCTCGCTCTCCTCCTCTTCTGCATCAGCCATCTCGGCATCGCCCGCCGCCCCGCCCTGCCCGCCGCCGCCAGCAGCCCTCTCGCTGCCCTTCTCCTCCTCCTCCTCACTCTCCTCCTCCTCGCCGTCGGCCAGCTGGCGCTTGCGCGCTTTGCGTGGCGAGCCGCTGGCCTGCGAATCGTCGTGGGGCCGCTCTGCAGCACACCAGCCAGCAGACGCTTGCCCCCAGCCAGCCAGCCCTAGCCATAGGCTGATACAATGCTGATGCGCTGATGCGGCATGCCATCCCACATGCCTGCCCCGAGCGAGCACCACCAGGGCCGACCCTCCCCCACCCCCTGCAACACCCTGCGCAGACTGGCGGCCAGCCAAAGCAGCAGGTGCAGGCTCAAGCACCACGCACCGTTCAGGCCGTTTGCCGGTGGCGACCCCTCCCGCTGCTGCTGCGGCGGCTGCTGCTGGCCCTGCGCTGCTGGCAGCGACGCGCCGTTGAACTTGGGAGGGGGAGCGGGGGCCCGCCGCCCAGACGCCACCACGCCATCCTCCGCTGCTGCTGCCGCCGCGGCTGCCGCCGCGGCGTTAGCGGCGCCCGCCTGGTGGAAAGCCAGGCGTGCTGCCGAGGGCGCTGCAGGCAGGAACGCGGGCAGGCAGGCAGGCAGGCAGGCACATGCATGAGCAGCATTCCAGCCACCGCAGAGACCCACAGCCAGCCGAGGCGGCCAGGAGGCACAGACAGCCAGGCAGGAGGAGGATGCAGCCCGGCACTGAGCTGCCCCGCTGGCTCGCCTTGGCTGACGGCGCGGCGGCCGATGCTGCGCCCCAGCGCGCCGCCGCCCGCGGGCGCCAGCAGGCCCACGCCGCCGCGCGGCGCGCCGGAGCTGGTGACTCCCGCCGCCGCCGGCTCGGCGCGCTGGTGCGGCTGCTGGGACAGCGCCTCCTGGTACAGAGTGCCGGTGGTCAGCCCGGGCCCCGCATTGGCCCAGCTGGTGGCCTGGCTGTCATCAGGGCCTGCACCCGCGGCGGCAGGGGGGGCCGGGGCGCGCTGGGCGGCGCAGAGAGCGGGCTGACCCAGCGCAGAGACCGGGCCCAAGCACAGCGCACGCCCCGCCGCGCCCCATGGCGGGTGGGAGCAGCAGCAGGCACCGGCACATCCGCAGGCGCCGAACCGACGCGGCGAGAGAGGCAGCAGAGGGTGGGGTGTGGGGTGCCGCGGGGCGTCGGCGGCGTCGGCGCCGGCGGTGGGGCTGGGCGCGCCGCGGGCGTGGCGCCCTGCCCGCTGCCCGCTCACCTACAGGCACCAGCGGGTTCACGGCGCAGATCTGCAGGTCCTTCACCACCTGGCGGAAGGAGACGGAGCGGATCTCGCCCGCGGTGTCGTTGTCCACGCCGTACCTGCGGTACAGGCGGTACATGCGACGAGCGGTACGCAGCATGACGTGCCGCGCGGGCGGGTACCAGGGCTGCGGTGCAGGGCTCGGCAGCACGGAAGGCCGCGCCGCGGGCGAGAGTGGGGCCCGACCGCTGCTGCAGGGCAGCTGCATGTAGGGGAGCGCCAGCAGCGCTGCCGCCGCCCCGCTGCCTCGGGTGCCTCCAACTGCCACCCACCTCTCAAGATCAAAGTGCAGGTTCAGGGCAAACAGGTTGCGGCGGGAATCCACGGCCTCCTTGACTGCACGCGGGAGGAGGGTCGAGATAAGGTTGCGCAGGCAGACGAAGCTGGGGCCGGCACAGCTGATGCGGGCTGGCACTGCTGGCACTGCTGGCACGCTGGCAGCACGTCCATGCCCGCGGCCTGGCCAGCAGGCAGCATGTGCCGCGTGCGCACTTGTGAGCACGTCGCACACGCGGTGGGCCTCGTCCAGCGATCCAAACAGCCCCAGCACATGCTCTGACCCCTGATGCGGGAACAGCACCTGCGGGCAGCAAGCCAGGGCAGGCAGCAGACCAGGAGGTCGCGCGGCGGGGGTAGCAGCTGGGAAGGAGGGCAGCGGCGCCGCCTGCCTGGGCTGATGCCTTGCAGTGTGGCCAGCGGGTTGCGGCAGGACGCGCGGCAGGCGCCACCCTCGCCGACACAGTGGCGGCTGGACTGGGCATCGGGCGTGCCGGCAAGATGGTGTGCAGTGGACGCACCTTGTACAGGGTTGCACCTTGAATGCTGTTGTCCACCTCTATCCTGCCCACCGGCTCGTCGCCGTCTGCAGGGGCCGAGCCCCTGGGCTCTTCGCCTGCGGCGACCATGCCTGACCGAGCGCTGGCGCCGGCTCTAGGGGGCGTTCCTGGCAGCAGGGTGGCCGGCCTGCAGCGGAGGCAGGAAGGCGGAGGGCCGCAGGGCGGGTGACTGGCGGCAGGGGGGGGTGCCTCCGAGGGGGCTGTTGGGCGGCCGTGCAATGCCTCACTCGCCGATTTACTCCTCCCGCACTGTCTGGCGTGTGTGTCTCTCACTGAGAGAGCAAGGGCGGGGTTGCCGCGCCACAAACAATGGATCGCTCGGTTAGCGGAGCCGCGCTGCTGTTTCAGCAAGGGGGGATGCATGAGAAGCGCCTGGTTCTCACCCTGCGGGCTGAGCGGGCTCCACGATGCCGATTGTCTTGTTGCTTGGCCAGGGCTCTCTTTTGCAGGGGTGGGAGGTCTGCAGCAGGAGCCTGTGATCGCCCGTCGTCGCCGGAGGGGTCCCGTTGGTGTATAGCAGCCGCACAGGAAAACCCGCCTTCTTCTGGCAATTTTGAGAGGCCCATGCTGCCCCATCGCGGCCCCATTTCAGCCTTTCGGCTGTGCATACGCGGCTGGGCCCACTCATATTGGCCAATTGAGCATCGGGCTCACCGCGGGAGAGCCTGTGAACAGCGCCAAGGTCTGCCACATCCGGTGTGTAGCTTCCTGGAGCAGCTGCCAGCCGCCTTCAGAGAGGCTGCAGCGCAGGGCACAAGCGGATAACCAGGCAGCGCCGCAACAGACAGCCAGGGTAGCGGCGGCAGGAGCTGGCCGCCACGTTGCCGCCACCACCGCCATGCCACCCCCCGTGCACGCCGTGCAGCCCGCATCCCAATGGGTCGGCACAAACAGAATGGTGTGTGGTTGGTGGCAGCAGAGGGGTTGCTCGTGGTCTGCTGTGGACGGTTGTGCTTGTAGCGGTTTGCTGGAGGCGCAGCGGTGCATCAGACCATCCCGCCAGCCAACCTTTCACGCCGCCAGCCCCTCACACTGCGTCCCAGTGCACTGCCTCCCTGCTGCGCCGGCATGCAGGCGGGCACCAAGGATGGGTGGTCGTGCCAGCTCAATTTCGCCTACCCTCCACACCTACAGAGCACGGTTGGCAAGAAAGCAGAGAACATCAGGCTACACGGCTTTGCCACGCAGGCGTGTGCAGTGGCAGGGCCGCAGTCGGCGGCTGGCGCCGCGCGCCGGCGCTGCGGCGGGCGGCAGCCGCCCTGCCCTTGCTGCTGGGGCTGCTGTGCCGGCGCAGGGCCTGTTCCGACCGCTTGCCCGCTTGCCCTGGCGCCGTGCTGCCTGCCTGCAGGCCGAGGCGGCGACCGCGTTTGACTTGCTTGCGATGTGGCGCCAGCACCAGATGGACAAGCCGTTGACCGCCAGGCAGTACAACCTGGGGCTGGAGCGGTACAAGTGGGTGCTGCTGACACGCCTGCCGGGCCACGGCACCTGCTGCAAAGCGGCTCGAGGGGGGCCTCATTCATCTGCTTGGCTCCCTCTGCCCTTGTTTCCCACCCAGCCCAGCCTGTGCCCTTTGCTGTCGCCTCCTCGCCTGCTCGACTGCCCCTCAACACCCCCCCATGCCCGACACCCTCCCCCGCTTGCCGCGCGCGTGCAGCGCGCAGCGCGCCGCCCTTCTGCTGTGCAAGACGGCTGACGAGGCGCGGGAGCACGTGCGGCGGCTGCACCACAACGGCACGATTGCCAGGCTGGCGGCAGACGTGCCGCCCCAGGGCGGCCCCTTGAGCGCCGCGCCAATGGGCAGCGGGGCCAGCGCCGACCAGGCCAGAGCCGCAGCGGGTCTGGCCCTGCTGGCCGCAGCTGGCGACGGGAAGAAGCGGAAGAAGGGCGGGCGCAGGGGCGTGGGTAGGCCGCGGGTTGTTGAGGCAGCACCTGAGGAGGAGGAAGAGGAGGGGCGGGAGGATGCGGAGCAGCAGCAACAGCAGCAGCAGGACGAGGAGGAGGAGGCAGCAGCCGAAGAGGAGGAGGAGGGGGAGGCTCCCCCCGCCAAGAAGCAGCGCGGCGGCAGGCGCACTGCCGCGGCGGGGGCGGGGCCAGG